CGCAATTCAATCTTGGAAATCTGTTTTAACAATTGTAAGCCTCAAAAAAATGTATTCCTGACTTCCTTACAATTGACTGTTTCTGATAATCAGCAGAGCAGCACGCAGCTGCTCGTTTACCGTGCGCGTTGTGCCGGGCTTTGCATGTGGGGCCTGCTTACCTAGCCGCTTCCAAAATGGCGGCGTCCATCGTGCAACTTTTACAACATTTTAGAACAATTTTTCGAAGGGTTTTAAAAGTCTTAGGAATCAAAGATGTATCAATATAAAGTAATACATGAGTTATTTTTTTTTTTTTCGCATTCCTCAAATGATTAAATATAAGGAAATGTATAGAGAGCGGTATGGAGAATATGCACACTTTGTTTTGTGAAAGTTGATCGGCAAACTTTATTTTCTGGCACTGAAATATTTAATTAAGATGTTTAACGAGTGACTGATGACAAATATTTTTGAACTTATAGATAGAATATGCCTGATGACTTTTTGAACTTATAGATAGGCCTCATGGGAGGTCTCAGCCTAGAGGATCTTTGGAGGTCTCAGCGTAAAGGATCATGGGAGGTCTCAGCCCAGGGGATTATGGGAGGTCTCAGCCTAAAGAATCATTGGAGGTCTCAGCGTAAAGAATCATGGGAGGTCTCAGCCTCGGGGATCATTGGAGGTCTCTTTCGTAAACTTTGCCCTGTTTACTAGGGATAAAATTCTAACGAACTAGACTCAATCAAACTGTTTTATTCCACTCTCGTATTCGCTTATTTACAACTGGTCTGTAAAAAGATACTCTGCAAAATTTGTAAGAAATTACTCCCTTATACGATATTCTCTACATTGTGATTGGTTGTTGCTAAGTACTGAATTAAAAGGTCATTCAAGGTTGCGTTAATCATGTAAACCGATCAATGTCCCAAAATCTCTACAGGCGGTACTTCTAGCTCTTGACATAATGTTCACACTCATCATCTGACATGTGTCACGCACGAATCAAAGTCTCCGACATCTCCGGTCTAGGGGGTCTCAGCCTAGGGGATCATGGGAGATCTCAGTCTAGAGGATTTGACACGCATATTATAGGACAGATTACTATGTCAGGACTAGAAGTTTCTATAAAAAGAAAAAAAAACAAAGAATTATGAAGCGTGTCGAGTTCATGATCTTAGATAATTTTACAGTAAAGGAATAAAAAACGCGCCGAGTGTATTGTTGAGTTATAGAAGCACGCAGGAATTTTTAAGAACACGAGAGAAGTGCGGAGCACGAGCCGAAGGTGAGTGCTTCTCGCACTTCTCGAGTGTTCTTAAAAATTACCAAGTGCTTACATAACTCAACAATGCTCGAGGAACAAGTTTTTTATTTCTTTTATAAAATGTATCGTGAATTACGCGGGCTCCTACCGATGACGTAGGCTGCGAACATTATATCTCAACAATGCACTCGTGTGACGTAAGGCGCGTGCTTTATGGAAATATAATGAACTCGTTCTGACCAATCATGGCGCGCGTATTTCTCTGAACATTTCATAATATACTAGATTATTCTCACTGATACCTGTCAAGTGAATATGCTCGCTATAAACGGAGCAGAAAAATTTTTTATGTTTACGTTTTTCATCGCGGAAATAAAATGGCATGATTCTATTTTGAAACGAACACATCATTAGTACTGCACCTTTACCTAAGGATCTCATTAAAATCTTTGCGGTGCTGATCTGAACGCTAAGCGCATCTTAGTTACCTGGAGGTTAGATTCCTTTTCTACGCATTCTTTCTCCTAAAACCGTTTTAATGGCGGTTCTCAAAGTTCGTATTCTCCAACAATATACCAGAGGATTCAATGAGCTGTTTAGAAAGGCTATCGTTGATGCGTACATAAAGGCCGTTTTCACCGGAGTGGTGTATCCCAACATCTTGTAGGCCAGTATAACGCACATGAGAGGCGCAAAACAAGCCGTGAAAAAACCAACGACGACAATCATGGCAATTGTTGACTTCTTGTAGCGTAGCATATTTCTCAAGCGACTCGCGGTTTGCTCGATTTGTCGACCAGATCTCTTGACCTCCGTTTGTACTGCTTGAATTTGACGTTCATGTCGTTTAACACATCGCAAGATTTTAATGTAGGCCAGGCAAATAGAGAGAAAACAAAGTGCAATTACGGTGGTTAAGATGGCGGTGTACGCCTCTGGGCGCAAAACAGAAACCCGGAGGACGGCGAAGACGACAAAAACGCCCCAGAAACATGCCACTGCGGAAAGGACTCGAGTACAGGTTAATACTCTATTGTAACGCAAATGGAAATACAAAGCAAGCCATCTTTCCGCGGCTATTCCCGTCATTGTGAGTACTGAAGTTCCTGTTGTAATATTTCCCAGTGACTCGAGTAGCATTCTGGTGGTGCAATACATTTCGACGCGATGGAACATTTCACCGACCTTATGAACAACAAAACATGGCTGAGTCAACAAGCCAACTGCTAAATCACTAAAGGCGAGGCAGCATATAAAAACGTTCGATGGCGTTTGAAGTGAGGGCGTTTTCCAAACACTGAAGATCACGATGGAATTCCCACCAATCGCTGACGCAGAGAAGACGAAGTTCACAATCGTGGTTAGAATGTGGGTGGCGAAGAGATATTTAGCTGAAGCAAAGTTCAGGTCAAAAAGAAAGCATTCCTTGATGTCGTAGATGACTGGGGTGGCAGATTGTGCGAACAATTTCGTAACGTTTTCACTTGACTGTAACTGCATGTCTCGCCTCCTATTGCTAAAGGAAGTTTTTGAAGTGTGAAAATATAGAAGTGATGATTTCTGTAGAAACCTTTGCTCAGCGCCGATTAAGGTAAGTTTTCACTTTCTTAAAATAGTATGACGCACCAAGAAGGGATTTTTAATAAAGCTCAGGTAGGTATTTACTTTACTCGTTAGAAAATCGAAAAAGAAAGTCGAGCGCATCTCCTTTGAGTTTACGCCGCTTGGTCGAATTTAGTCGCATGCAAATTTATCCCTTTAAAAAGATGATTCCGAACACTGTGCGAAAAAGACTTTAGCCCAGATAGCATAAACGATCAAAGTTTTGAAGAGAAGAAGGAGTGAATCATGCCACCCAATCGGACGATTCAACTTCTTTTAGTTTTTGCGAAATGCTAACAAAAACTAGATCACGAGATACCTTAATTCATTCAATGTGTAGGGCTTTGTCATCACGCTCCATCCAGAGACCCGAGATTTCAATGTTTATCTTAAGTTTTTCATCTTTTTTTCTATTGCTTAGTTCAATGTTTCAATCATGTATATCAAATATACCGAGAGGGGTCTTGAAGACATCGCAGTTAAAGTATATATCTAACTAAGTTTTTGTCTCAATGAGTATGTACTCGTAAGCCGAGCTCTTTCTAAAAACCGGAGATACAATTAGGGCTTAATTTTTCAAATAAACGCGCTACGATTTCCTCGCTTGTTAATAGAATAATAAAAAATTCAAAGAAATACGAAACAAGGTTACACTAAACAAAACAAAAAATGACCAAAATTAAACTCGTGTATCAAATAACCAATAACTAAAGCATTGTGAGAATTGCTCTGTCGCCTTGCTGTTTCAATATAATCAAAGCCAACAATATCGCCTATTCATCTACACAGACTTTCGTCTGGACACTCCGACACCTCAACTTCCTCTCCTTCCTTTCCTTTAAGACAGAGTCTTCCGTGAAAGCTGAGAAATTTGTCCACTTTAGAAGTTACCTCACTTATATTCGCACTGTTACGAGGGGAAATCCAAGTTGGACCCGGTTCGGAGCAGTGTCTACTTATGATAGAAATGTGTGATGTAAATTAAATAATGTAAAAAAAAAAACAAAACAGAAAATTAATTAAGCTGACAGACGCTTAAGGGCTCCTTTCTTTACGTAAGCCAGCTGAGTTTTAATGTAATTCACGCGGAAGTGCTTTTTTGGGTCTGAAAACTTTCATTTCATGGTCGAAACGAAATGCCATCACCAAAGCAACTGAATACGTATCTTTCGGTTTTTATTTTCGTATTTTGGTTTTCTTCTCCTTCTAGGAAAGTTTGAACGCCACTCTGTAAGCGAAACGGATTTTTCATTGTATGGATGGATTGAGGGGAATGGTTAAGGCTTTGTCGTTCATTTGTCAACCCGACCGAGTGGCGCGAAAGGCGAGTTAAGCGTCGGCAGCCGATTGGCGATATCAAACACACGTGAAAAAATATCGTATTTTGCACGTGTGTTGTTACGTTCGTTTTCTCAGGGCTGGAAATCCTTGCATAACACCGTGGTTTACATGATAAATACCTGTAAAATCTTGGCTTAAGTCTTCAAACAATACATCAACTGTGCGTCAACATACGAAAAAACAAAAGTTGGAGCGTGTCATAATTGAAGCTTTCTAAAACCCTGTACACCATCACATCAGTATGCATCAGATTCTCCATACTGTTTATCACACATTTCCTTACTTACAATTGAGGAGAATTTTCTTTAACAATAAAGAGTTATCGATCAATCCTTTTATTCAATTCTTGATGTTTGCCTCAGCGGGTGATGCTGTGAGGAAAAAATTGCGTGCCGGTCACTCTTAGGGGTTAAAAGGTTAACATTTGTTTAATGCAACCTTGTGAATATTGTATGGACTTATTAAAATTTTCCTTTATGTCATATAATAGTTGTTTTTGCAAACCTAGCTCATTCATTATAAATAATCTCCTTGTATAAATACAAGATTAACAGTTTTGAACATTTTTACCGCAATTTCGTACCGAGTCAATAATTTTTGGAATTTTTTTTTTCCCGTGTATGTTTTATATTTTCCTATCGCCTTCGACATTTTTACCATAAACAAAAGCTAACTAACATGTCCCTTCCGCACAAACCGCTTGACTTTCACTGCATGAGCCAAATGCATATTTCGAAAAAACACCTGTTTGCTGATATTGTTTAGTAGCTTCCTCTCTCCATATAATTTACTAAAAAGTCGGTTGGCTAAATTTACCGCTATTAGTCTTAAGCAGGTGTCATATGAGAGATCTCGCGCGCTATCAAGTGATATTAGGTAAAGATGGTGATCATCAACAGAACAAACAGTTCGCCAGCCTTTTCCTCTCTTGAATGTTTTCTTTTGGACATAAATTTGGATTTCAGCCAACACCTTTTCATCGCACATATTCTGACTACAATATTAAACTCCGTAACCTCGTTCACGGCTGCTGCCGGTAATTCTGTCGTTATTGTAGCAGTGTGGAGGACTCCGTCGCTTCACACACCGTCAAATACGTTTCTTTGCTGTTTGGCGCTCAGTGATCTGACTGTCGGTTTGATTGCTCAACCATGTTTTGTGATCCACAAGATCGGGGAACTTCTCCAAGACTACAGCATGTACTGCACCACAAGGATAATGACAGAATCGCTGGGATACATAACGGCTGGAACTTCAGTTTTAATCATGGCAGGTATAGCGATCGAAAGATACCTCGCACTTTATCTGCATCTCCGTTACACAGAAATTGTTACCACTAAACGCATTTTATTTACTGCCTCTGTTCTTTGGATGGTTTTTATCCTACTAGCCTCTTCCAGGCTTTGGATGGCCGATGATGGAGTTTTTAACAGTATTTTAATCCCAGTGATATTCTGCTGCTTGGTGTTCACTTTCTTGGCGTACACGAGAGTTCTGAAATACGTCCGCCGCCATGAGAAACAAATAAACGCGACATCGGCAGCTCTATGCCCGGTAAATCATCAACTGTCAAGAATAATGCGATACAAGAAATCAACTTTAACAATGGTGTACATTGTGGGCATTTTTGTTTTCTGTTACATTCCATTTCTGTGCGTGAAAATTGTTCACAAGGTAGAGGGCTACACCATAAGCGTTAAGATAGCTTACTTGTATGCATCAACTATCGTGTTTTTCAACAGTTCTTTAAACCCTCTGGTTTATTGCTGGCGTATAACCGACATTCGCAGAGCTGTTAAAGCACTCTGTTTACGATGCCTGGGAAAGAATAATTCGGTTGCTCCTCTAGCGTTAGCGGAACTTCGGCCAAGAAGTTGCATGAGCGTAAGCTTTGATGTAACCCGGCGCCCATCGCTAAGCGTAGCGTGCTCTCAGAAAAAAATTTCCGGGCCAGGTAACTTCGAAGGGCATATCTATAATAGGACTTAAAGCCAGCTGGTTGGTAATTTTTCGACAAATTGTTTGGATAATGCAGCATATATATCCCATTCCCATTCTCTTTGACCACAAGTTTCAGGGATGAAAGAAAACAAACTTAATAAGGCTGGATAACATGAATTTCTTCACTTTTTTTAGTAGGTACAGGCGAATCACAAAACTTAAAAAAGTTTTTTTTTCCATGATTAGTAAATAGAATAGTTTTTTTATTTTATTTTGGAGTTTTTATTGTATGTATGCCTTATTCAGCCTCAAACCAGCATGATTAACACCCGTGGAAACCAATTTTAATACACCTTTTTATTAATTTTTTCACCACGAAGAAATTGCTGCTGAAAGCATTACTGACATTGAAAATTAAAGATTCGCCGACAATTAATGTTAGCTTAGTCAAGAAGACAAGAGAATGATCCAATAGAAACCCGTACTAAAAGTGAAATCGAGGGTGTTTCTTTGTTGTTATCCACAATAAGTTCTAATTTTTCATAGCGACATCATCTCGAGTAGACCACAATTCTATTGAATAAAGCCCACTAGGTAATTAAAAAAGCGTTTCTATAAGAAAGTTCACTTCTTCAGCCTTCACCTTTATCTCTACAAGAAATATGAATTTTTGGACAGGTGAACAGTAGTGTGAGTTCTGAAAAATCTCTTTAATTAGTATGAGAGAGAAGAAAACATCTAAATCAATGGTTTGAAGCGAAAAAACAGAAACACCTCTAAGTTTGATTACAAGCATTTGGTTGTGTATTGCACTTTTCAAATACTATATAAACCTTTCTTCAAGTTGGATGCTCTGTACGTATTTTAGAATTGTGTAGGTAAGGTTGTAGAAGGTTGTTGTTCTCAGCACGATTTTCTTAACTAGCGAAAATGCAATTATAGTTTGACGTATGGAATAAGCCGTTAATACATATTGGACATAAAGAGATTGATTAAGTATTGTTTAATGTGTCAGAAACACACGAGATGTGGTATAGTTTTGCCATGATAATGCATTTTGATTTTTGAAATTAAACGATTAGTGCAAAAATATATGAGCACAATTATACAAGCACAAATGGAAACAGATAAAAAACTTCTGTAGAACTCTCGTGACGTTAACCTAGCGCGGTCTTGAAAATGTTTAAATGTGTTAAACAGACTTGTTTTTCATGGTGAAATCCTATGGTTTTTAGAAAACATTTTATGAAGTAAAAGAGTCAAGGCAATGTTAAAGTGATTTCATTTTTTTTTTTTTGTCTTATATTTTGTAAACTTATTTATCCGTTTTTTATTCATTTTTCTATTCATCATTCATTCATCTATTTTCCAGTATAATGTTTCGTCCTTTTGTCTCATTATTATGCTAAAAATAATGCTGGCACCATGCCGACAACCCTAAGTTTTGTCCTTCGTTGGACATTACGAACAGCAATTTCTCCGCTTTATATAGAGCAAAGCTCGTTTTTTTTTTTAACTCAAGTTTTAAGGATGGGAGAAGATCTAAAATGAAAACACAGCTGGAACAATCAGCCAACTCCCAGCTTATTTTTTCTTTCGTGTTTTTCTTTGGTTGTTTGTTTTTTGTTTGTTTCCAAGGTTTACTGGCAGATGTTTTTCGTGAAATATTTTCCATTTCAAGTCAGGGTAACAGAGGGAACTATTTCAAATGTTGTTGGCGATGTCTGTCTTTCAAGCAACATGGAATTTATACTCATAAACTGGAAATTTTTCAACAATTCAATATTGTGCACCAAAAGCGCTAAAAACAACATCGATTCGCATAGTCAGGTGGCATAAACCGTCAATCTTTGACGTCACGCAAGTATCGCAAGCTGCTTGAAACCTCTATAAGCCCAATCTTCCACAAGTCCATCTTATCACATAGCTAGTAAATTTGTCTAATCAAATTCAATTGCGCGAGCGTGCTTCATATTCCAATTGTGCACGCTCGTGACGTCGAGAGAAAAAATTTTTCATCGGGTTGAAAATGTTATAAAACAATTGCTTCATACGTCAGCTGTGCGTTCATCGAGATATGAAGCTCTTGGGAAGTCGGAGAGCACTAAAAAAGCTAGACTTGCTCCCGGCTACGCCTCGAGCAACTCTTAGGGCCTATTTACACGGTATGACTTTGTCGCATGCGACAAGCTTACGACAGGCTTACGACACGAATTGTTTCGTGTAAATCAAACCTACAACTCGCTTACGACTCTTAAGTCATGTCGTAGGCCTGTCGTAAGCTTGTCGCATGCGACAAAGTCGTGCCGTGTAAATAGGCCTTTACGCATCTTTCGTGCTCTCCAAACTTCCCGCGTGCTTCATATCTCGATGAACGCACGCTGACGTAGGAACTAATTGTTAATTGGCTTAAGTCATCTCGGCCTGCGAAACCTGGTAACAAGTGATCATCCCGCCAAAATGCAAAATGGCCAAGATTCCTACTCTGGAAATTAACTAACAAGGAGGGATTAATTTGCGTTAAAAACCCCAGCAAACATTTATATTCTTTTTCACGTTGTCAAAATGGAGAGAGATCGAGACCTGGCTGAACAACTACGAAGCTGGGCATTGGACGAAATGCGATTTCGACCTCAAGGACGACACGTCAATGCAAGTGTACCATCGAAGGACGACTTCAAGATGTAAGTTTCGATTAAAAATCTTATGATGGAAGGATTTCGAATGACTCGTTGCATTCGAGATTTACACATTTTTATTTCTAGTGGGTCTAGATCGAGGAAATTCGATGGGTGATGAACAGTTACCCATCGGTGTGTTTGCAACAGTAATCTGTGGTATATGCGTGGCATTGGAGATGAGAATTATCCGTGTACTTCGCACAATTCTCCGGGTGAAGTTTTAGTCGATTTACTCTTTCCAACAAGTTACACAGACCCTTTACACCGTAATGTCGGTATTGTTATTCTCCACACTGTTCCCTTTACATTTCCTCTAGTACTCACAAAGAGAATCTGTTAGAAAATCAGGAGCTTCCAAAATCAATGATCATTTCCTCTGTTCTCGTGGCCTCAACTTTTGTTTCAGAGATGATACTTTGAGAAGAAATTTGAATCCAGTCACTCCGAGGGGTTTAAGAATTAATGAGTCATTATACCTGTGATGAAAGAGAAACTGTTGTTGGTAGCAGACAGATGTGGGTTTTAAACCAAGCTTGTTGTCTTAAAAGTGTATTGTAAACCTGTAAACCCTTTAACTCCCAAGATCTCATTAGTGATTCTCCCTTCTATCTGCCACATAGTTTTTGTGATGTTAGTTTGAGGAATCTTGTATTGAATCAACTAATAATCCCCTCATTAAAATTTTTCTTTATTCTCATCACTTGTCTGCTTGATATTGTATTGATATTGTAAGGAGAAATTCTGTCTTGGTCACTCATGCGAGTTAAAGGGTTAAATAGTGCTGGCTAAATATAATTTGCAAAACTTCTACAGGTTATGCCGTGGAGCAATGGTGGATGTTTGGAAGTATGTTTTACAGCATGTCAGGTCTACAAGGTGAGTGTCAAGAGCACCAAAGTGTTCAGTTTGCCTCACTGTCTTATGATCAGTTTTTGTTGTTTTTGAATGTCAGTAGGGTTCATCAAAGTCTGAACATGACCAAGACACCCAATCTACTCTATACTTTTGTTTCCAGCTTAAAAAGTATTTGTTTAAATGAATAAAGGGGGTAAGTTTCTAAAGAAACTGTGGTGCTGCATCAGTGGGGAGGTTTAACAGGGTAATAATTACAAATAATTATAAATTGGCCACCATAAAGAGTTTCAAAGCTGAAGTTTGGAGCATAGCCCCTTGTCAGAGCAAATGAAAA